GTTTGATAACTCATAGATAGCAGCCACCAATCCCTCGCCCAAGGTAAAATACAACGCTCATTCATCATCAGCAGCCCTGAACTCTATTGCCACATCAATCTTTGTAGCGAGGTCCTCTCTCAAAGATCCTCGTGTGGTAATGCTGTCCACATCTCTGCTCCTTTGTACGAATATGAGCTATGTATTTATGTCAGCAACTTCCAGAAGCTCCAATCAAAGTGAAACTCACCAACTCAGATTCTTCTGTCAGCAGCAGTGTTTGCTTTGGTGTCTTTCTTCTGCTGTCTAGAATATGGGAGAGAAAATCCAACCGTGCGGTGATAAAAAGCCATAAGCCCAGCAGTAGAGAGGACGGGAACGACAATATACAAATGATCCTTATTGTATTGGTAGAATTTTTGGGTATGATGTGCTCTCTTGGTGTGGCCAATACCGGATCTGGCGGCGCGAAATTGTCTAGTGATTTGATGGAGGAAACTCATCTCTGATCACGATGAAGGGATATGTCTTAGTACGAAGAATCAGTATCAAATGAGAAGAATTATCTGACATATGAACTTGGAGAGTGTACGCTTTCAAGGTGTGATTTGTTGCAGTAAATGGTGTGTGGTGCGCGAAGCCAGCTAATCTTGGAATTGTTGTTGAGGAATTAAGACGTACATTAGGATCAAAATAAAACATTTATAGCTGAGTTACAAAGTTCTTCAAAGGTTCTATACATATGGAAATCAGGAGAAGACTACTAGTTTCACTCAAGTTTTCTTCATTCAGTTTGAGGAGAAGCCATTTAATTTGTTGTAGTCTCACTAAGAATCACTTTTCAAAGAAAGAAATCATATATTAGTTGACTGTATTATTCATTGTGTTAGGAATTATATGTTCTTGTTATGTTATGTTATTCAAATATAGAATTGAATAATCCACCAACAGCCTTTTCCAGCCCTAGAATAGGTTCCCATTCAGAGACAGCTAGTAACACCAAAACATCACCCCATGTCTGTACCATGGCTCACACAGAGAGTCTGTGCAACTATATTAGCATGTTCCAGACAATTCCTTTATTAAAGGGCGAACTTTATCCAGAATCTTCCGATAACAACGGCTTGCATTCTCCCTCGATACCTTTTTCTTGACAATCCTCATTGACTTCCTTTGGTGGTTCCTCCCGCTTTATCTTCTTAAGCAAAGCTCTTCCGATGAAAATAACTAGTATGAGACAGCCATTGAAGATGGCAAATGCCATCGAAATGGCTAGCAACCCAAGTTCAATACCAATTAAAGCCCAGATTAAATAAAGCGAGATCTTATAGGCTCTACTGGTCGCTTCCCAGTAACCCTTTTTCCACTCAGGTCCGAGGAGTTGCCTAGGCGGCATGATTCCAAAGCTTTCAAGAATTTTTGTTCTTGAGCTAGAAGATTTGAAGCTTTATGTGAAATTTCGAGGTTGAAAAGTGCTATCATTCGTGTTCTAAAATCGTCCCCGAGACTTTGTGCTTGAAGGTCGAGGACTTTTCGAGAAATCTTGTATCTTATGTTGAGTTCAAGATTGTAGTGTAGACTCTGATGTAGTGATTAAAGAATCGTCGGAGGTGGAGAGCAGATGTTCTTTTATTATAATTTGAATGTAAGCTACCTATATAAGATAGGTAAATACAGCACTTTTGACAAACGAAGCCAACGCAACCTATATACCTAGGTAGCTTAAGCTCATGGCTCGCCCATTCAAGGCAATTCAATTATGAATCTGAGTGAAGGCCGTATTTCCGCACCATGTTTACGAAGCAACCAGCGGCAACTTTCTCTCATCCCGGAGTGCATTCGTACATGTCATTCGTTATCAATACCTCTCTCTTCTAAACAATATCTCATGTCTATGATACGATAATCGAAAAATCAAAAGCACCTGCTAATCTAACTATCCGTAGCTCACGAGTCACCCAAAAATATTCAGTCACTCCTGCGCAAAAGCCTATCACCTATTCGGATTTTCGAGCTGATAGCGGTACCTGTTTTCTCTTGCATTGCCTGTCTAGTGGAGATGGTATAAGTTCTTGCTCGATACTTCCCATTTGTTCGTTCTTTAATTCATACTGATTCAACAAGCTTTGTACTCCTTGAGGACCTGATGCGTGCATGTTGGGTGAGCTTGATTTGAGATTTGCCACAGTTACTATCATGATATTCTACGGAGAAACTACATGGTGGCTGTCAATGATAATGTTATAATAGAAATCATAGAACCACTTTTGGCAAAATACAGATTACTGAAATAAACCTACAATGATGCGAGTGACCTATTTGAAACAATCAAGCGAGGTTCAAATTAGATGCTACATCACTTCATGGTTTCTACTAGCACGTTATGTAACTCTTTCAATTTAACTTATAGTGTCAAAATAGCACTGATTATCTTGATTAGTGACTAAATGACATGATGAACTATGACCCCAGATGATTTAGGATTCAATGGAGCGATGAACTCTCGCTACAACTTTGCTCCACTGTCCCTTGTTTCAACGCTATCAATTGTCGAAATTGTCGTATTTCTGTATTATTCCATTCCAAAAAAAGATCCCCACTGGCGATTGAGTCAATATTGGTTTGTATTACGGCTCAATACCTCAATGGTTAGGGAAGAAGGCACCGCTTCTTCTCCTCCAATCTCTTCTCGAAAGCAGCTCAACTCTCTCTTCGACAATAACCGTTCTCCAAAGCTCTTTCTGTCGCTTCCGGTTCAACGAGCTTTCTTCTTCTATCTTGACTCTTGCGTGTCTTCGATTTTTCATCTCTTTCCGAACCAACAACGCCATTCGTATTATCATAGCCCTTTCCTCTTGTAGTTTTCGTTTGAGTCTATGATTTGCAGCAACCAGGGCCATACTGACTAGTTTAAAGACTGCTAGACCAATGACCAATATGAGGAGTTTCTCCTGTTTCTGCGCCCAACTATTCGTGATATATATTGCCTCAGCTCCGCTGCTGAATTTTATTCTGATAATCAGAGGGTAGATTGATGGTATCGTGAACATCATGTTGTGATCTTGAGAATTTCATGTATTGTTGTTTGACAAATGTCGGGTTTTGGTGAGAGTCAAAATGATTGGGGGGATTGAAAGTTTGGACTTGTTGTAAGAACTTCAAATACTAATAAATCAAACCTGTGGACAATTTAAAACCAAGAGAAGATTTATTAATGATCGCTTACAATACATCTGTGCACCAGCTAGTGTAGTTTTCTCATCGTAATATAAGCAGTAGCAATTCCCGTGACCTTACTTCGATGGCACGCATATATCATACATAGACTTGTATGACGGCACGTACTGGAATCCTTCAAATTTTTGACGACGTGTCGTCTTATTAATCTACTCAGTTCCCGGAGTTCTGATATTCTTATTTTATGAAACACAATATTTGCAAGTCTTAGGTAGTATTCAATCTCAAAAGAAAATCAAGTAAGCCTGGAATCTTCTACTTCGGCTTCGATTGACTCGAGAATCGGCTTGAGATACATCGTATGGGACTTTACAATCATCATCTCTGATATACATAAATCACATGAGCAAAATATCTATACAAACTTCACACACACTAAAAACTATCAATTGCATAAGTTTCTCAATTTGCATCTACTCAAGATTATGATAGAGCATAAGTTTCGTAATATTCAGGATCCAATAGACTAATACACCACCGAGAATCGTTTTCTCAAACCTGACAGCGTCTTTATCCCTTCATAACTCCCATTTGCAGTTTTTTAATGTGCCTGGATGAATGTTTCCCAGTATTCTCAGTCAAACTGGCTCCGCATCGTCCCTTAATACCATGAAGCAGATTAGGTGTTAATTGTACCATAATTTACCCGTCGCATCTCGATTGGAAGCTCCTGATATCTTTCTGTGATACCTTTCTCCTACTCGCCTTGCATTTTATCATTCGAAATAGGATCGCCTTGTCCCTCCTCCTGTGTGTCTTGCGAGTTTAGTGGATTCGACGGCGACTGGGATCTTCTCTTGGAGGCGGCCTTCTTTTTTCGATTCTCCTGACAGGTTTCGATTGCAAGGACAATTTAGTCTAGCGAGTGTATAAAGATGGCAATGAGCCCCACGATAGTAAATAAGATGAGAGAAGATTTCAGTAAAATTACCTAGTCAATGTTACAGTTGAGATATTCTCCCTATGACAGATTTCCTGAACAAATTATCGGAGTAACGGCAGGTATTTTACTGACGTGTTGCTCTAAGAATGACTCGAGTGTTTTTGTAGTGGTAAGAGGCTGGCGTTTGATGAACGGAAGTCGAAGCCGGAGATCGAGATCGATAAATTGAACCTTTTGAATTTGATGTTGAGGATTATAGAGGCAAAGTCTGATTTGTAGATGGTTTAAACAACAAAATAACCGAGCAATGCAGCATTCGCTAGCGTTTTATCTTCGATTCACTTACAACTACTACCGACGCTTCTAATGCCGGTACTATAATTGTTCGGGTTTCGTATACCTGGGATTAGATGGTTATTTGGGACATCTCATATTCGTCGCGCCTCAGGGATATGTATGCAGTTTGTATCATATACCTATTCCAATAGATGTGATTGAAATCCATATTAGTTCCTAGACTGAACTCAACAAATTACTTCCCCGAAAATTACTGATATTTGGACTAAACTATAGAAATCTGAGATATATAAATTTTTAAATTTCATTCACTTGGTCGATATAATTACAAGAAGATTAAATTTATATTGTTCAGACTCAAAATTTGCCGCTGAAACTGCCTATCCGACAAAAGCTCATCACCACCCCATCATAACTCCCCAAGATATATCCCGCATATTGTGTATCGTGTTCGAAAAAAGAAAAAAAAAAACCAGCCATCATGCTGGCAACCTGCGCATGTGCGCCCTAATTTATCAGAGCAAGTCTTTCACTTCTTCTGTCCTTTGCCCTTCGTGATTTTTCCGAATTTTCCCTTACTCACATTTTTTCTTTGGGCCACAGTTCAAGGGGTGGAGTATCCCTCATAGTCAAAGTCAACTTCTGATGACTTCTTGCTCTTCTTTTCTTCAGGCTCATTCATGAAAGCTTCATATTCATCAAGTACGATCTGCTTCTCTCTGCCTTTGATGATTTTTTTCTGTCCAGTAGGAGTTGGAACCGGCTCGTAAAAGTCATCAAACGACTCAGTTAGGATATTCTTTCTCTTGCCTTTACTCTTGGCCCTAGCACTTCTCGCTGGTGCTGTTGGCGTCGGTACAGGTGTAAGAAGTCCATTTTTGGCCTCTCTTTCTCTGACCCTGCTGCTTCTTCTCAGAGTGGTTGGAGTCGTTAGAGAGTCTTCATCCTGGACCTGCTTTCTGCCTCTTCCCCTGGAATTTCTTCTGGGTTCAGCCGGGGTCATCAGCGGCCGTTGGCTTTCATCTGTACCCTTTTGATCATCCTCAATAATGATATATTCCTCAGTTTCTAGAGGTTGGAAATACTCAGAGTTTGATTCGAGACCTAGTGCTTTCCAGATCGGAGTGATATTATCCAGGATTCCAAAAACAAGCAGAGCCCCCAATGCAATTAGTATAGTTTGCAAGATGGTGAAGTCATTGTCTGTAGATGCCTGACGTGTCTTTCTTGCGATAGCAGTTTCGTTATACCACGAGTATGACATGGTTTCAGAAATGGAGAAAATTTTCTTTTCGTTTAGTGATGAAGGTAAGTAGACGATGATTGAATACTCGTGTCGGCGATGAACAGCAAAAGGTTGAGAGCTATAAGTTTTTGTTCTGGAATTTGAAGATTGAAAAGTATTGAAGTTTCTGTGATCTGGACTTTGAAAAGAGAGCTGTGATGAAGTATCTGTAGAAAGACTTTCTCATGTAATGTAGAACGGTCCAGATAGACTGGGAGCTTTCAGAAACTTATATAGGACTTGATCAAAGTATGAGATTCCTCATTACGGTCAGTACAACCGTAGCTTAGTTAGTTTATCATGTTTGCAAAAGCATCGAGTTGAGTACAGCTCTGGATTAGCTACGGTACGATATGATGTACGGTGTTTGATTATTCTTCTTCTTCAGCAGTACGTCTGCAGAGGGGGCAGTACGTTACTGCTCGCTAAAACATTCAAGCTATACTGCCCAAATTTTTGTAACACACTCTCCGGAATTGCTTCCTGCTGTTATTGCCAGAATTTGCTTCATTTGGGTAGATTTCGAAGCTACCATCAGTTTTCTGCCTTTGTCAGGTTAATATAAAGATGCAATCTACTACATACTTTTCTGAAGAATTAATTCCTTTACAGCTCCATGACCAATAAATGTAAATGAAACGATGACCACCAGTGGGCGTATAGACTGCGTGACACTCCAAAAATGGACTTGTAGATATCTCTTAATATATCTAATTTTCCATTTAAAAATTATTAAAATTGTTCATTCGAGATGTAACGATCAAAGAATAAATTTTAATATCAAACAATTGAAGAATGAATTTGTCAAATCTTTTGAAAGTTGAGAAGTGTCCCGTCAATCTATACACCCACTAGTGGACCTCGCTTGATGATTATGTCATCCAGTAACGAAACTAATGAACTAAAACATACTTCATAAAATGCATTGTCATCTAACCTTTTAATCGGTGCAACAATCTGCACATTCCTTATATCATCCTCAGAATATCCAATAATTATGAGGTTTACCTAAAAAGCTTTCCAACCATGTGATCAAAAATCCAGCCAATCCAAGTGAAAAACAAGTTATGCAATTCCTGTTTTGAGTTCACCAGGTTCGCTCGCTTCAGCTTATGATTGGTCCTTTAAAAAGCCATCGTGAATTTCCTGCGCTGACATCACTGTTTGAGAAGAAAAACATTAATGAAGTATATCACCATCATATTTCCCTGAAATGAATGAGAATAAAAACTGCAGATGAAAATCTTACGTATATATAATCATCCGAATAATTCTTCAAGCTCCTCGGGTTTCGTGTACGAAAATCGCTAAAGCTACATACATCGAATAATACCCAGCATCTAGCCCCGGTCTCCACCACACAAACCCCATCAATAGTCAAAGTCAAGCTCACCCCACTTTCCAAAATGGGTATCCCATATAGTAAACAGATCCATTCCGCTTTCGACCAGTCGCAAATAATGATGCGACGACTCCAAACTGAAGTCACACCTCTTGTGGCAGCCGGATATCCACTAGTAGCATCCGGCTTCGAGGTCCTCAAGACGACAAAAAATATTGCCATGCTATTAGCAGTAGTACAGGTTTATACGGCTCTAATGCTGACGGTTATTTTGGGGGTGGGCTGTATGTTGTTGGTAACGATGAATCCAGATTTAGAAGATGAGAGAAGTAGGATGATTAGTCCGTTTGTGAGAGGAGGAGTGGAATGGATTGAGAGGTGGGGAGGGTGGATGAATTGGGGTATTAGGTTTGGGATCGTATGCGGAATGGCGGGGATGGGAGTAGGAATTTGGAGGGGGGAGAGAGCGGGGGAAATGGAAAGGGAGATGGTTGTCGAGGGTTAAAATGAGGAGATGGGGAGTGATGACAAGGAGGAGGAAGATGGAAAGGATGATAAAGATAGAGTGGATGATATGGATGATGTTGGGAAGTAGGAGGCCTATCTATACCATCTTTATGTGTGTCATGATAATTTGAAACCTCTTCACACTTTTGTTATTAGGTCTTTATCTTTCGAGATCGCGATACCGCTATGGGATTTGGGAGTTGATGGAGTATCGAGGACCTGGTTTGAGAATTCTCATGAAACCCATGTATCATCATTATCTCTGAATGAATGCAAATACGATTATGTCTGTATTATGAGCTCAGAGGAGTCAACATTTGATTAATATCATCTTGTAGTCTGTATAGTGGAGTTGAGAGCGGGAGAGGAAGGAAATGTCTCTTGTTGACAAAAAGTTTACTCATCACAACATGCACTCCCTCCGCCCAGTGCATCTTCCGCTGACTTCCAGGTGATATGAGACAAGGGATCTTCATTGTGTCTAAATCGAAAAGATGGTAGAGAGATATTGATGTAGTCAAAAGACAATTTAGTTGATGCTAGTATGCCCTCGATATCAACATACTTTTTAAAATTACCTGGTAGTCTACAACCCTCCCCCGAAACATATACACAATTTACTCGCATGAAAAGTCCTTGACTAACTCTACATCAAAAGATTCTTCTCATATTTCTTGTAGAAACTCTTAACAAGCACCACCACAATTTCGCTAGACTCTGAATCTCACAATTTATCATCCGTCACTAGACTAATCAGCAGGATATCCATATTTTTTTCAATTTTAAACAGTGCTATCGATAATCTCTACTGGTCGAATCTTTCACTAGAATGATTATTAAACCTTTCATCGCTCATTCAGATATGTATCACCATGACCCCTAACAAAGTGTTTGAATTGCCACTTCTAATCACGAAAGAGAAGACATTCGTCACAGGTATCAGCATATATCGTCAAGCATCACCAGGTTACAAAGAGTGTCAATTGGGATTCATCGACGGTACCCTCGAATATCTCGATGATTGCCATTACAAGGCTGAGAAAAAGAATAGTAAAGCAATAATTAAAAAAAAAACTTCAAGCTATGATCACTTAAATGAAAAAATCCCCGTAGTAACTTCATCCTTCCAAACCATTACCAAAAGTAGGTATCTAACCCTTCACTTCCAAAGCACCATGAGAAACTTTATACTTCATAGCCCATCAACCCCCCCCCCCTTGCTCTCCTCTTCCCCCATCCCTAACGCCCACCTCCACTCCCTATCCTCCTGGGCAGTCTAAGATCGCAATTACAATATCCCGCATACCTCACCTCCGGAAACCTCCCCCAAGACTGGGCCATAGCAACCGCCCACTTTCCTTCCACCAACGTCTTGAATTTCTCAATATAGTATTCCTTCGGGTGCTGGCTTACTCGTCTCATGAGCACAGTGCGAGCTTCATTGCCATGAATACAGCAATATAAATGCCGAACAATCACGATAATCTCTTTGAGTGATTTATAGTTCAACAAAACTGGTCGAGGTCCAGTAGTGTAGTTGAGAGTTGAGAAGTATTCATTCGAAATGGCGATACGCTGGATCAGTCGCTTATCTTTGAATGAGCTAACCGTCGGTGCCCTTATTTTGTTTAGGTGTACGTATTCCATCTTTGGTTTACAATGCAGAATATCGACTTTAGGATCAAAATACGCGTGGCCGATTGGTCTGGGCAAGACTTCGGGACGATATGCTAAAGGTTGTTTCAAAAGCTTAAATGTCTCTAGCGCATATTCTCGGGTTGCTATACTAATAGATAGTGCTATTGGAGGTTTAGCTCGGACTCTACCCTGACCGTTAGCTGCAGCATGTGCAGCAGAGTTTAGGTTTCGCTCTTCGGTCGTCTGATCATCGATTTCGCTGCGGACAGCAAAACTTGGATCGATCAAAACGCAGGGCTGAAGATTCAAGTCGAACATTCTCTGGCCAGGGAATGTGAACTTGAGAATTGAGAATTGTATCTCGTTGGGGATCTTCTTCCATTCGACTTTGGGTTTGAAGTTGATGTTGAACTTCACGATCAAGCTGGGCTTAGCCGATGGATCGAGTTCAGCGGCAGGTACTCTCAGGATTTCCGACTTGGCTTTGTGAGGGAGTTCCTCTGAAGATTCGCACTCCTCGCGTTCTGCTTGCTGGTTGGCGCGACGTTTGTTAAAGGCTTCGATAGCCAATGATGAGGAAGGACCAAAAATGGAGAGTTGATTGTTGGAATCCATTTTGAAAAGGTCGTAGAATTTATTGGTGGTGTTGTTAGGGAAAGAGAGAGACTCGCGGTGAAGAGATTTAAGTAAGAAGTAGGAATTGATCTAATCGAGAACTAAAAGTAGTGAATATCAGAAATGGGAATTGATTTGTTCACAAATGTTTCTTATGAAGTTGTCTTTGGAATGATGAAGATGTTGTTTCCAAGAGCGATCATTCTGGTTTTGAAGTACCTTTCAGGAACCCTTCCCAAAATCTCCCTACAGTCTCCGCTCAAAACAGTCCTGAACGACATGAAATTACAGCAGCGCCAGCAACTCTTAGAAGCCGTACAGGAGCGTAGCAACCATCATCTTTCCGTACCTCAGGCATTAATTTTCATCTAAACTTGCTCGACGCGTCATACGCGATGTAGATGTGCAGATGTATGCACAGCCTACTGGTACTGGTATTGGTTGAGCATGAGTGAATGTCGCATATATAGAGATTATTTTGAATTTTCGTGGAGTCATTTACATTCCTAGTATTGTCGAGCCCATGCCAAGTTATCTAGCGCCTCTATATCTCTGCGCTCTATCGTCAAACATAGTGTCATGGAGCTGTACCGTCATGCATAATGTAGTACATACACCATTTTCAGATAGTCTTGTGGCTCCGGTGAGCGTCGTGTTCGGTGATACATAAGTCAACTACCCCACTTTCCGACCACCCCCTGTTTCCGACCACCTAAAAAATTCATATTATCTACACTTAAAACTTTAATAACTCAATAACTATTGGACTTCAATGAAATCGCCTGTAGAATCACTTTCTATAGCACTAGAGCTATCATCTACCTCATCTTCACGATCTCCAGCTTCAATTTGTGTACGCCTTATAGCTCTAATCCCTGCGAACTTCGAATTTGGAGATACCACAACCTTTCGCCTTTTTCTAGGTAATGCTTCATCTAATTGATATTCTAGCTTTCTAATCTTATTCTCTGCCTCTAAGAGTTCATAATCCTTAGCATCGAATCCTTTTATAATCTTGCGAAATAGTAATCTTCGTGTTGGCAAATCGATCTCCTTCTCTTGAATCATTATATCTCTATATTTTCTGATATCGGCTCCTTTTTGAGGGGTTTTCCATTGAATAAACGATGAATATATATTCCATTGAAGAATAGGATCATCATCAGATTCAGGATTAAGTGATAAAACCTCTCTATTGCTATTTTCAAGCAAAAGTCGACTCATAAGAGGTTTAGCCATATTTTTGGGCCAAAGACCACTAGCTTGCCACCCAGACTTGATATTTTGAATAGTTAAACCTTCTATTCTAGCCTTCTGATAGCAAGAAAGGAAATTGCGCTTTCCAATTGGTGAGGAATCGGATAATAGACTTAATTTATTAAGTTCGATTCGATATGCACTTTTTAGGGGTGAGAACACAGATAAATCGAGTGGTTGTAGTACGTGTGACGTATGTGGTGGGAGAAGTAAGAGATATACGTTGTTATTAAAGCATTCTAACATAAATGCTGTAGTTTCATGGCTTCCGTGTCCGTCCAAAATGAGGAGTCTTGAATTTTCCGGCTGAATAGGGGTAGTTTGAGGGATATAGATCTTTTTCAGCCATTCTAAAGCTGTAGCATCTGTAGTCCATCCATTTTCTGTAGCGGTAAAGTTCCAACCCTTGAATAGAGTCAAATCTGTTGGAAACCATTGTTGTTGAACTGATTTTCCCTTATATATTACAAGGGGAGTAATGCTTTTTCCATTGGCTGAAATGCATTCTATAAAAGAGGTCCAAATTCGAGATCCAGGTTGCTTTTTTTGAATAAATCTTCGATCAGTGCTTCCTACTACTAGTCCATTAAGACCCTGACCCTCCATTATACCTGCTTCATCCATATTCCATCTGTTGGCCGGCTTAATAGCCTTGATTTCAGGGATTGCGAGGTTCCGGAACCACTTCTTAATAATATCAGATGTAGCACCTGAAACTCGTGCAGAATCGATTTGATGTTGCTTCTTAGTTCCAATATTAGGATGCCTTCGAAAAAAGCTATGTATCCATTTCTTTCCAAGTGAGGGATCCTCCCCTCGTACAATAAGGAGGTGCTCTGCCATCTCTCTGATTTGACGATGTGTAGGGCTAGTACCAAGAGCTTCCTGTACTAATATCCATTCTGCTAGTCGATTCTCCTGAATTGGAGATAACTTTTGAAGTATTTGGGCGCCTTTTTGATGCGAAACTCCACCATATATTCGATCGTGAAGTGTGGTACGTGGAACACCATAATCCAAGCTAGCTCTTCGTATGCTTGCTCCATTTGTAATCGCTCTAAGAGCCTCTGCGATATCTTCTTCGGTATATCTATTCTTCATATCACAATTATAATAATATCAAAATTTCAAATCAATTGATTAAAGCATTGTTGAGTTATTCAAAGTATAAATTTTATAATTACTCAAAGCGGTGTGGTTTTTGAGGTGGTCGAAAAGAGGGGGTGGTCGGAAAGTGGGGTAGTTGACTTATGTAATGAACGAGATTCCTTGAGACATACCGCTAGTATCAAAAATCGTAACCCTTTCTCTACCTCTTCACTCCACACCTTGTCTTAGTCAACAAAAATGACATTGAACCATCCACCAACCCCTCCCGAAAATCATTAGAAAACCAACATTTGATTCGACTTCCTAACCCCAAAAACATCCAAATGACCCGAAACCTTACCACCACCAAACAATGCATAGCGAAATGAACATCAAGAGCCCCATCTACCCACGATATCTTTCCATCTTTCCTATATTTTCCCATCCGCCTTTATGTGAAAATGGAGAGGGAACCCAAAAGATCATCAAGCAAAACTTTCAAGAAAGTGACAAGATGAAGCATGAACTATTCTAATCTCGCAACTCTGATCGTCCTAGTCACATGAACCGGGCAATATCATTTTTTCTTTTCTCCATCAGCAAACTAGTGATTTGACATAGCAGTCCATAGCATCCATAGCTACTCAAACCAAGCATAACCAAGTAAAGCAAACCCAACCTCAAGCAAGCGAAGATAAACATCCTAAGAATGCAAAATTTTTACCGATCACCTACAAATATTCATCTCTTTTCACAACCGAACATAAAAACACAGTTCATACTTTAATCAACTTATGTATTCTTCAACCATTTTGCTCCCTAAAAATACAAACGGCGCCATTAAAGGTGTGGTGACCCAAGCCAAATGACATAAGCTAAAAGAGAAGTAAAGGTCACCTCTGGTCTTATTTGAGTAACTTGAAACTTTCCTGCTGAGGAGCATGACCGCAAACTCCTGCTAAAAGGTACACGGAAATGCAAACCCAAAATATGATTGAATGCAGAAAGGTCGTTTAAGTATGCAAAATCCCATCACATGTGCATATTCGGTGCCAATAAAAAGAAAAATTATGGAGTAGAGAACAGATGACTAATATGGACGTGGTCTCTGTTTCTTGGGACTTTCTCGGGAAGAGAATGCTTCGGGTATGGAAATTTTGTGATGCATAAGGTAGGCTGGTTACGTGGAGATGCCCAGGAATCTGAGATCAATTATCAGTTTGATCGGCTAGGAGATAAGAAATCTGCGAAGACCAGTTTCCTTGCTTGTTCACAAATTTGAGATGGCACATTTATGATTCCTCCTCAGTCTTTTTGAAAACCCTATGATGATGTTAGCTTGGTACGTGAGAGGAGTCATGTGAAGGGATCGCACAAATGTCTTTCGTAGAAACTGAGCATCTGTTTTTCCTGTTAGCTCGGGACAATCAATTACATAATTGGAGACTCTACCTTCTGTGGGCAACGTTTGTAAACTTGGTGTAATGGGTGTTGTGACTTAGCTCCACCCTTCCATGTTAAGTATACAATAACTTCTGCATTAGGTCCTTCCATAGCTTCAATAGTAACAACATCATCCTCCCAACTTCCTTGTGGTGGTTTGAATGAAACTGCTTCTCGGGATGCAGGTGGTGTCGACGAGGCGGGGTGTCCATTCTTTCTTGATCTCTTTCCGTTGGATTGAGGAGTACTAACACCAGTACTTGGACGACCACGCTTCTTTGATTGCTTCTTTTCAGCTGCTTCCGCTGCCTCTGCTTTCTTCTCATTGTATTGTTCTATAAGTTGTTCTTTGCCGCCTACAGTCTCGAGATATGCGTTTAAAATGTCTTGTGCAGTTTCCCTAAAATTCAATATCAGCGGAGTAATTGTAGAGTGAGTGAGTGAAACTGACAAATTCTCTTCTGGCTCCCACGTCATATCCGACTTCTTTTCATAGCCTTCCCACTTAACCTGGAACCTCAAGACGCCCTTCAAGAGTGTTAGCAATCTCCATCATAGCATTGAAAAGTGGGTTCACCGACTTCTTCGTCAAAAGAGTGCTTCAAAATCTTTTCAACCACATATCTGCCCATGCGTTAGTGACTGAATGTAAACATTTCAAGTATGATCGTCGCATACTCGTCTTCTGCTTGCTCCTCGTCGCCTTCTTCATCCGATTCGACCTTCAACTCCTCTGCAGGCTCTGACCCTTCTTTCTTGCCCTTTCCCTTTACTGGCTTTTCAAATTCTTGTTCGCTAGCATCGGAAACCGAACGCTCGTCATCGCTGATTTCTGTAAAAGATGAGCGTGGGTTAGATATTTATGTTAATTAGAAGACATCATTCACGGAAATCTAGCTAGATTGTATCTTCAAGACTCTGTGATGTGATATGATGTGTGCGACTTACGAGGAGGCATTATTGCGACTGAGCTTCAAATACGCGCAAAACAGGTTGTGAGCTTTTCCTCGTAGCTTCAAAACTCAATTGAAATGGATGAAATACGAAACAAAAGACGAATTTGACTGAGAATAGTTTATAGAATGAATGCGCAGGTCTTTGGAGGTGGTGAGTATCGAAAAAGCTATGGAAATAGTTGAACTGTGAAGGAGACGCGAAAGATCAAGTTGCTTGGTGACAAGTTCGTGTTTTCACCAATCATGAAATAGTGG